GCTTCGCATCCTAACCACGTACGTGCTACACGTACTCAACTACCGACTAGGCCATCTGTTATCTCTCCTACGCATCCGACTGCTCCATCTGGCGGGCGTTTGTGTGATGGTACTCATGGTGGCGTTCGTGGTGCCGTCTGCTGCATTCACGATGCTGGAACCGGAGTGGGGATTCATGGACTCGTTCTACTATTGTTATATCTCGTTGACCACCATCGGACTAGGCGACTACATTCCGGGGGACGACCCCCATCACAGCAACCCTTCGCTCTACAAGGTGATCGTGACAAGTAAGGGCGCCCAGAAATCTTGCATGCGAGAATAACTGCCGTTAATGATAGTAGATTAGCATGATCACAACTAGTTTCATCCACGACTCTACTGATTAATGTTTTACACGTCATCTATATACGCGAGTGCAAACATCAGTCGCGCTATGCCGTCAAACACGAATCATGCAATTTGGCTCATCCTACCTATAACCCCCCTATACCTACCTATATATACCGTACCTACCTACCGTTGGCTACCCTACCTATATATAATGGCCCTGTCACACATTGACGATTTAGCCAGCGTATGCCGGACGTAGGCCTATCAAAAATTTGGTGAATACGCTGGCGTACGTCGAATAAGTTATGAGTAAGTTGTGTATAAGTTAAGAGCACGCTGAAGCACGCTGAAGCACGCTGAAGCACGCTGAAGCACGCTGGTATACGTCGTAGTACGGCGAGGTCGTCGAAAATTTTTGAGCATGCTCAAAATTTTCCGACGTATGCCAGCGTATGCCCATACGTCCCGCATACGCGGGCCATAAGTTGTTCGATCGTTGACACACGTTCACACACGTTACTTGTAAGTTACTCATAAGTAGAAATACGTCGAGATAATGTCTAGCGTACCCAAAACTTATTTCTAACTTATGAGTAACGTGCTTTGAACCTATGTGTAACTTATCTCCAACGCATATTGACGTATTTGACGTGTTCCGGACGACCACAGAACTTACTGAACGTGTTTCTAACTTACAGCTACCGTATAATGGCGTATTGGCAGCGTTTAGGGGAATTGGTATATAAAAATGGTATTGGCATGTTGATACTGCGACGGTGATGTTGATACTGCGATGTCTAGTGCGGTTATGATTTGAATCGTCGAGCGGCAGCCTTTTTATAGGCTACGACACGTGATCGTCGGCGATACGCTACCGCGCGCTATGCATAAGTTAGACTATCGTTGGGCATAAGTTGTGAACGCCGGCAACACGCTAAGCATTCGTTGGTATAAGTTATCTTATAAGTTATCGAAACGTTCTATATACGTTACTAATACGTTAAGTATACGTCCAACTCGTTATGAATACGCTATGTATACGCCCAAAATTGGAAAAAACATCGATAGTTCAGCGTATGCTGGCGTTTTAGAGAAATTTTGATACGTCCGGCATACGCTGTCTAAATCGTCAATGTGTGACAGGGCCATTAGGACCCCAGTGCATACAACATCAAAACCAAGTCTGATCCAAACCCAAACTCACACATAAACCAACATCATCACCATATTTATAACCATAGCGATAACTATAACCATAAGTAACCATGACCATAATCATAACCTTATAATCTTAACCCACCTTAAGCCTGACCTCAACCCTAATATTACTCCTAACCCTATCCTAAGCCTAACACTAACCATAACCCTACCCTAACCCTCACCCTAACTCTAATCCCAACCCTAACCCTAACCCTAACCCTAACTTTAACCCTTATCCTAACCATAGGCCTTAAACTAACCATAACCTTAACTCCAGCCCTAATCCGACCAGGCTGTGTGACTGATGTCAATATACACGGTATATATCTACGGTATATATCACGGTATATATTCTAACCCTAGCAATACTGTTTCTTGGAGCTACTCCAGCCCCAACCTTATCCCTAACCCAAACTCTAACCCTAGCCCTAATCATATTTTTAACCCTAACCCAAACCATAACCGTAACTAATACTAACTATAACTAAGCCTAACCCTAACCCTTACCCCAATCAGAACCCTAACCATAACACCAACCCTGATCCTAACTCTGACAATAACCACAACCATAAACATAACCATAACCATAACCATAACAATAACAATAACCACAACCATCACCATAACCATCACCATAACCATCACCGCCATCATCTCCATCACCTCACCATCACCATCACCATCACCATCCTCATCACCATCACCATCACCATCACCATCACCATCACCATCACCATCACCATCACCATCCTCATCACCATCACCATCACCATCACCATCACCATCACCATCACCACCATCATCTCCATCACCATCGTCATCACCATCACCATCACCATCACCATAACCCTAATCTTACCCATAAGTCTAACTCTAACCCTAACTCTATCCCACCTAACCTAATATTAACGCTAACATAACCCTATACCCTACCGCTAGTCATAACCTTAACCTTAACATTGCTATTAACAATACCCCTAACCTAACTACATATTGCATTCGTTTGGATTAGTTCTCGCCAATGCTAGAGCTCATTAACACTAACAGCGACTTAAATACTTGCCGAACCCACATGGGATAGTGCAGTGGACCTGCGTCCCGTAGATACGGCCCATGACTAGGCCTCTGCTAGGTTCTTGTGTCCAACCCAATATCGCATGTATGGGGGTCCTGGTAGGACTAAGACTGTAGTATTAAGGTATGAATAGAGTAGAGAGTATAATAATATGTGAGCCCGGTAATTTAACTACGGTGCGCCCATTCCAAGTTGCTCTGCTCGTTCGTAGTGTACCTGGTCTTCGGGCTCGTACTGCTCGCACTACTACTGGAGGAGGTATCCGACATTCCACAACTCAACCTCAGCACACTCGTCATGCTGCCGCCGCGCGACGCCTGTGCCGACGACGACCGCACCGCTGTCGGCACCGTCGCCACCACCGCCGCCGCCGCGCCAGTCAGCGAGCACACGCAGCTAAACGAGCCGAATTCCACCCTGGCGGCGCGCCAGTACACGCTCGGCTCGCCCACCATCGAGCAGGAGGCCGACTCGACGGCTTGCCTCGCCTACTCGTGGCAGTAGGCGCCCGCGACACGACAGTTGTAGCAATGTACGCGCCTCGACCGAGAATAGCAAGCAGCGCGGTAAGGGGTTCGGTAGGCCAGGCGCGTGGTCGGCATATATATGCAGGCATATATGTATGTATGTATGTATATACGTGTGTGCAGCTGTACAGCCAGCCGCAGCGCTGTGCACGCGTGCGTGCGTGTATACGTGCGCGCGTGTGCGTGAGACAGTACATGGTTGCATAACCGACACAGTCTGTGTGCGCGCATGCAGTGTTGCGTGGTTAGGTGAATCACAACGAAGCGCCTGCGTGCGTGCGTGAGTGGGTGAGTGCGTGTATGTGAGCGTACGTGGAACACGCGTGCGTGGTTGTACGGTTGAGCATACGCAGGGAATGTACAACTGTACAGCTCACTATAGGTCATTCTTGTTTATTATATCCTATCACTATATCTTCAGAATCACCAGGCTCTGACTTCGTAGTTCCATGCACCATGCCGGTACCGTTCGCATTGACCTTCGATAGGCATTACCAAGGGCTTAAATTATGTTAATTTAATCTTAATTACTGGTCTTTGATGCGAAACACGACACTTGTAGCCCTACAAGTTTTAATCAGCTTCCATATAGGCCTACTTGGTTAATTTCACGCAAACAATGATCGAAGAAAAATCAAAACAAATATATTCTTCTATTCTTTGTATTAGAAGTTAGTAGGCCTAATATTTAAGCGAAATTGGTAGAATTTCACCCACAATCTTATTGCGTCTGTTCTCTTTTCGCTATTCCCACAGATAATCGTGTGTTAATACCTGTTGTTGGAGCAGCCTCGATATGGATAAATCACTCGCATCGTGTAACCATGGTTACATGTACGCATCCTTGTATCGGTTCCTTGATTGAGTGACTGCAACTGCTTGCGTGCAATCAAATACAAATGCTAAAGTACACGTGCAATTCAGAGGTCGGGGGATGTAGCTACTACTTGCAGCAGGATCGCAACGCGTGGTTCTACACCAGCCATGTGGCGGCCGAGGTGCACAGCTATACCTGCGTGTGGCGGCCGATGTGCACAGCTATACCTGCGTGTGGCGGCCGATGTGCACAGCTATACCTGCGTGTGGCGGCCGATGTGCACAGCTATACCTGCGTGTGGCAGCTGATATGCACAGCTATACCTGCGTGTGGCGGCCGATGTGCACAGCTATACCTGCGTGTGGCAGCTGATATGCACAGCTATACCTGCGTGTGGCGGCCGAGGTGCGCATGCAGCTATACCTGCGTGTGGCGCCGAGGTGCACAGCTATACCTGCGTGTGGCGGCCGATGTACACAGCTATACCTGCATGTGGCGCCGAAGTGCACAGCTATACCTGCGTGTGGCGGCCGATGCCTCGGCGCCACACGCAGGTATAGCTGTGCACCTCGGCCGCCACACGCAGGTATAGCTGCATGTGCACCTCGGCCGCCACACGCAGGTATAGCTGTGCACATCGGCCGCCACACGCAGGTATAGCTGTGTACCTCGGCCGCCCCACGCAGGTATAGCTGTGTATACACAGCTATACCTGCGTGTGGCGGCCGAGGTGCACAGCTATACCTGCGTGTGGCGGCCGATGTGCGCATGCAGCTGTACCTGCATGTGGCGGCCGAGGTGCACATGCAGCTATACCTGCGTGTGGCGGCCGAGGTGCACATGCAGCTATACCTGTATGTATGAACGGGAACCTTTAGATCGGTGTTTCCCTTTTTATTTTTGATAGTTTCCCACCGGTAATTTTACTTTACCGGTAGATTTTGTTCCGGAGCTTCCAGGCTGATTCTAAGTAATGTTTAACCTGCTTTACCCAATCCCCATAACATCTATGTTTATTTAGCCCCAATATGGTGAGCATAACCTGCCTTTCCTCCAGCTGTGCAGGGGTGACCCCGACTTCTTAAAGCCTATCCCACATGATCTTCCTTAGGTGTTTGTATGCCGGGCAAACTAACAGGAAATGCTTTAGGTCTTCTGATTCTCCCTTATTGCACACAGTGCAATTTTCCTCCCCTAACCATCTCCTGGTTTTTTTATTTACGGGGAGGCGTCCCGCTCTACATTGGTACAGCAGCTTACTGCCGATTTTATTATTATTGTAAAAGGTATCTTGTTTAGGAAATGTTTTCCCTTTATATAGCTTTAGTGTGCTTTTATTTACCATCCCCTTTCTCCATCTGACTGTGCTGTCT